GACAGCATAGCAACGGCATGACAACGGCATGCCGTTGCCATGATGCCGCCATGCCAGAGCCATGCCGTAGCCACGATGTTGCCATGTAGTTGGCATGTCACCGCCATCGCCATGTCATCGCCATGCCAATGCAGGATGGCTTGCGGGACGACTCGCGGGGTGACTTGGGCAGGTCCACGCGGGAAGGCGCTGACTTGCGCAAGTCTGGGCGGGTAATTTCTCAGGAGATTCCTGAACAATTACACCACCTAACTTGCGCAAGTCTGGGGGGGTAATGTTTCAAGAGCTCCCCGAAAACGTACCCCCAGACTTGCGCAAGTCAAGCGGGGTAATGTTTCAGGAACCTCCTGAACTAGTACCCCCCCAAACTTGCGCGAATCAACGCCTTCCCGCGTGGAACTGCCCAAGCCACCCCGCAAATCGTCCCGCAAGCCATCCTGCGTTGGCAAGGCGATAGCATGGCGATGGCGATGGCATGGCAACTGTACGGCAACAGCTTGGCAACGGCATGGCCCTGGCATGGCGACAGCATGGCAACGGCATGGCAATGGCATGGCAATGGCATGGCAACAGCATGGACACAGTATGGGAAGAGCATGCCGATAGCATGGCCATAGCATGGCAACGCCATGGCAACATCGTGGAAACAGAATCGCCTCCGCATGGCAACAGCATGGCAACAGCATGGCAACAGCACGGCAACAGCAGGGCAACGGTATGGCAACCGCATGGCAACAGCACGGCAACAACATGGCAACAGCATGACAACGGCAAGGCAACCGCATGGCAACAGCACGGCAACAGCATGGCAACAGTACGCCATCATCATGGCACAGCATGGCAACAGCATGGCAACAGCATGGCAACAGCATGACAACGTCATGGCACTGGCATTGCAACAGCATGGCAACAGCATGGCAACAGCATGGCAATGGCGTGGCAACAGCATGACAACAGCGTGGCCAGCATGGCCATAACATGGCACCAGCATGGCAACAGCATGGCAACAGCATGGCAACAGCATGGCAACAGGATGGCAATATAATGGCAACAGCATGGCAATTGCATGGCAACAGTATGACGGCAATAGCTTGGCAACAGCATGGCAACAGCATGGCACGGGCATGGCAGTAACATGGAAACAGCATGGCAACAGCACGGCAACAGCATGGCAACAGCATGTCAACGGCATGGCAGTAGCACGGCAATAGCCACTCAACAGCATGGCAACGGCATGACAACGGCATGGTAATGGCATAGCAGCAGCATGACAATTGCATGGCGACAGCATGGCAGCAAGATGGCAATGGCATGGGAGTAGCACGACCACAGCCCCGCAAGGGCATGGCAACAACGTGGGACTGGCAGGGCAACAGCATGGAAACGGCATGGAAACGGCATGGGAACAGCGTGGCAGCAGCACGGCAACAGCATGCCAGCAACATGGCAACAGCACGGGGAACCGCATGGCAACAGCATGGAAGCAGCTTGGCTGCAGCACGGCAACAGCAGGGCAACAGCATCGTATCCGCCCAGCAACAGCATGGCAACAGCATGGCAGCGGCACGGCAACAACATGGCAACGGCATGGCAACGGAATGCCTACACCATAGCACGATGATGACATCGGCATGGCAATAGCATGGCAACAGCATGGCAACAGGATGGCAACCGCATGGCAACAGTACGGCAACAGCATGGTAACGGCATGGCAACGGCATGGCAACAGCATGGCAACAGCACGGCAACAGCACGGCAACAGCATGGCACCAGCATGGCAACAGCATGGCAACAGCATGGCAACGGCATGGCAAGAGCACGACAACGGCATGGCAACAGCATGGCAACAGCATGGCACTGGCGTGGCAACAGTTTGGGCACAGCATGGCAACAGCATGGCAACGGCATGGCAACGACATGGCAACAGCATGGGAACAGCATGGCAACGGCATGGCAATGGCGTGGCAACGGCATGCCAACAGCATGACAGTAGCATGACAACCGCATGGCAACAGCATGACAACAGCATGGCACCAGCATGGCAATATCATGGCAACAGCACGGCAACAGCATGGCAACAGCATGGCAATAGCATGGCAACAGCATGGCAACAGCATGGCACTGGCGTGGCAACAGTTTGGCAGCTACATGGCAACAGCATGGCAGCAGCATGCCAACAGCATGGGGGACAGCATGGCAACAGCATGGAAACAGCATGGCAACGGGACGGCAACAGCATGGCAACAGCATCGCATCCGCCCGGCAACAGCATGGCAACAGCATGGCAACACCATGGCAACAGCAAGGCAACAGCATGGTGACAGCATGGCAACGGCATTGCAGCGGCATGACAACAGCATTGCAACGACATGCCTACATCATGGCAAGAGCATAGCATCGGCATGGCAATAGCATGGCAACAGCATGACAACAGCATGACAGCGTCGTGGTAACTGGATTGCAACAGCATGACAAGTGCAGGGCACTTTCATTGCATTTGCATGTCACTAGCACTCCAATTGCATAGCAATTGCCATGCAGTTCCCGTGCTGCCATGCTATAGCCTGGCAACAGCATGGCAATTGCATGGCAATAGCATGGCAAAAACATGGCAATTGCATGGCAGCTGCGTGGCATCTGCATGGCAATGGCATGGGGAACAACGTCACGGAAGGAGGGGATGGGGGTCGAACCTCCCCCTTCAATCCAGGGGGGAGGTCCAGTTCAAAACCCCCCCACCCCCTCCAAGCGCCCACAGAACGCGCTCTTTGCGACATGAGCAAGCGGCTGGCGGGGAGCCGCATGTGGACCCTGCCTCTAGGGCCTTCGGTGAAGCTCCCTGTGGGGCCTGTGGTGCCACGAAACGTCTCAGGGGTGTGCCGAAATGGACATGCGGTGTGCGGGGAGCCGCATGTGCTATTGGCGCCTTCGATGACGCCCCCTGTTGCGCCATGAAACGTGTGACAGGTGTGCCGAAATGGACATGCGGCTGGCGGGGAGCCGCATGCGGACCCTGCCACTGGGGTTTTAGGTGGCGCTCCCTGTTGGGCCACGAATCGTGTGAGGAGTGCGCCGCCGAAATGGACGTGCGGTGGGCGGGGGGGCGCATGTGGACCCTGCCTCTAGGGCCTTCGGTGAAGCTCCCTATGGGGCCACGAAACGTGCAATGGTGTGCCGAAATGGACGTGCGGCTGGCGGGGAGCCGCATGTGGACCCTGCCACTGGGGCCTTCGATGGCGCCACCTGTTGCGCCACGAAACGTATCACGGGTGCGCCGAAATGGACATGCGGTGTGCGGGGAGCCGCTTGCGGACCCTCCCGCTGGGGCCTTTGGTGGCGCTCCCTATGGGGCGGCGAAACGTGTGAGGGGTGTGCCGAAACAGAGACATGCGAAGGGCAGAGGCAGGGGTGGGAGGAGAGAAGTGTCTGGCGTTGGGCAACCGGACAACCCAAGCAACCGAGCAACCCCCCGCAACCCGGAGTGACGCGGAGCAAGCGGGCAACGGGGCAACATGAAGAATCACGGGGGCTCCTTCTGACAAGTGCCGCCGCACCCAACGGTTCTTTCACAAACACATTTCAACCCCGTCAGACAAAGCCAAATTAGGGAAAAACGAAAACGCTAAAAATATTCAAACACAATTGAAAATAAACAACAGTTCCCTCTTGAGGCCCCCTTGGAGTCTTCTTGGGCCATCATGGGCGGTCTTGGGGGTCTCTTGGGCCGACTTGGAGCCATCTTGAGCCATCTTGGAGCGCTCCTGGGCCGCGTTGAGCCCTCTTAGGCCGCTCTTTTCAGCCGTCTAGGTGATATCTAAGCTATCTTGGGAGGCTCCTCGGCCGTGTTGGAAGCCTCTTGGCCGTCCTTGAGGCCCACTTGGACCGTCTTTGCCGGAATGGCAGAATAAGCTACCCTCGGAGGCTGTCAAGAAGTCAAATAGCGCAAACACAAACATTCGTTCACGAATTGATGCCTTCTCGTGCGTTCTCGCTCCGATGACGAACTTTAGGTGGGAACGCGTTCCGTTGAGTTGCGCCCTCAATCCATCCAGCGACTGATTTTCCCATGCGCGAGCTCCACATCAGTCGGGTGAGACAGCCACCGTCAACAGGTCCCCTGGCCCCATGAGCGCACAAGCAAACAGCAACCATGGTGCAAAAGCTCAGACGCTACGGAAAAACGGGTACGATGCCCAACCGCGAATGGTCAGTGTTTTTTCGAAACCCGATGGCGACCGCTGGTGGGAAGGCGGCCTTCTGTCTCAAAGGGACAGCGTCCGCGGCGACGCCGACGGCGAGTCTTTTGGGCAGGGTGGGCCGGAACTGCGGCCGATCTTCGCCCCCGCTCTCCCCGCACCCCGTCCGACCGTGCTGCCAGATTTAGGCCGCCTGAAAAAAAGTCCCCGGCCGTCCGCGCGTCCTCCTACAGAAACAGTCCCCTGACTAGTGCTTGGCTATTCTTGGATACTCCTCCTGTAGAGGGACACGCCCGGCTTAGTGCAAGAGGGGCCGGCGGCATTCGCGAAGCGGCTGGACCGCCCGGCAGCGCAGCGACGTCAATTGACCCACACCTCCGTGCCCGGGCTCGTCGGGGCGCGCCCGGGTGCCACTCCTCCGCCGCGGGGGGCGCCCCGCCCCGCGGGCGGGGCAGCCGCGCCCTGCGGCGCGGCGGGCCTGCGCAGCACGTACTCCGGCAGCCGCATCGTCTCCTCGGGGAGGCCGTGCACGCTGCGGGCGCCGGCGGAGAGGACGCGCCGCACGGTGACCAGCGCGTAGCGCTTGCCGCCGTGGTGTCGCCTCGCCTTCTCCTGCGCGCCAGCAGGGGGGCTGGTGCTGCCACCGGGAGAGGGGCTGCGCGAGCGGAGGGACGACTGGCTGCGCGGACGGCCTGCGGCGGCGACGCCAGGGGGTGTGGCGTTGCCGGTGCGGGGAGACAGGTTCGGGGGAGTTCGGTCGTCGCGCCGCCCTGCCTCCTCTTCCTCCTCACGGACGACTTCTGCCTCCACGAAGCCCTCGTCGGCACCCCTGTAGACACGGACGCGGTCCCCGCTGTTGTAGCGCCTCCTCAGGCGCTTGGCCGGAATCTTCTTCAGTGCCGGCAGGTTCTCGCCCCGGTCAATGCAGTGCCTCTCGAGGTCCTTCTGCAGCTCGGACAGGACGTACGTCCCCAGGTAGTCATCAAAAACATCCTCCAACATGACATCGTATTCGATCCTCGTGTCGACATCATACCACGACTCGTGGATGCGGGCCGGAAACCATTTCCCATACTTCTGGGAAAAGACGCTCACCAATTCGCCATGCACAAAAGGCACGCGCAGGTTCATCATGTCCACGCCATGCACCTTCTGCTCGGCCGACCCCGTGGAGACATCGAAGCTGAGCGCGTAGAACTTCAGGGCGTTGTCGTAGTATTGCGTTTCCTTGACAGCAAGGATATTGGCTGGTAGCCATGTCTGATGCGGCTTCGACCAGTACTCTACTGCCTGCCCAGTATAGAACAGCTGGTGGGATATGCTGTCAGTGGTCTCTTCCCTCCCATCCTCATCCTCCCAATAGATGTTCGTTCTCTTGAACCCTAGCATGTCGTTCAGCTTGTCCTCCAGCGCCCTCTTGCTTCTCCGAATGTACTGGCAGAGGAGGCAACCAAAGCACAGGAAAGCGACAGCAATCCCAATTGCCACGCCCGATGCCTGCGTCTCGCAGCCCTCGCCCGTGACAGGGTCTGGGCCGCTGGGGCAACTCCAGTCGTAGGCGCACGAGGTGTACTGCTCGCAGGGCTCGGAGTCGGGCATGTACGATTCCATGGTGAATCCAGGCGCTGCGTTTGCGTTGCACAGGTCGGTGCCATTGTTGCCCCAAGCCCCCACGCACTCCACCTGAGGGGGAACCTCAGGGGGGGACTGGCTCAGGGGGGAAATATCGAGCTTGAGTCGGCGAGACATCGCCGATAGATCGGCGATAGGCATCGATAGGCCTCCGATTGCGGATCCGCACGTTTCTGGGCGGGGTGGGCTAGCAAGCCCCACATCGGCGATCAATGGGCGATTGGGCGTGGGTCGATGCCTCCCCTCTCAGACTATCCCCCCCCTACCGTTGCCCCTGATCCACCTCCTCTCTCCTCTCCCTCGACCCGATCACCCTCCCCTGCCCCTTCCCTCTCGCCTCCCCCCCTCTCCCTTCCTCCCCCTCCCCCCCCCCCGTCTCCCCCAACCTCCATTCCCCCCCGAGCTCCCCCCGCAGTGTATTTCCACTCCCGAGGGGTCGATCGGGGGCCATGCATCGCCCCCTGAGCCTGGCCTGTCCCCCCCTGACGTTGCCCCTGATCCACCATGCGGGTGCGCTCCCCCGGTCCACACATGTTGCTGCACAGCGACCAGGGCGTGCGGGCCACCCACCGCGCCACGGGGACGGTGAAGTTGGCGAGCGCGGGCGTCCCGACGACGAGCGTGGCCGTGGCGAGGCCGGGTGGGGCGCCGACGCCGTCGTCCTGCAGTGCAGCCAGGAGCTCGTCGATGAAGTTGGCCCCGCTCAGACCGATGGTGCTCGCCTCCATTGCTGTCGCGTTGGCGTTTGGATATCCGCCGCCGTGCCCCCTGGCACGTCGAAGCGTGGTAGAATGCCAAGGGCTATCTGGCACGGCTTCTGCAAGTCCTTTAAAGGGTCCTCCCATCCTCGGGGGCGCGCAGACATGGATTAGCGATCCACGGATTTGGCGCGCGGTCGCCAAATCCATGGATCGGGGGAGGTGGCCTCCCCAAAATGCGGCCGGTGCCGCCTCGTTCGGCGGCGGAAACTGCGATTTCCCATGGAAATGGGACCCGTCGCTAGTCCACGCCCGCTTGATCCATGTTTGCGATCGCCTGACCTTCCCAGCCCGGAAACGCCCAGCTGCGTACATCGCCCTCCTCCCTCGAGGCTACCTGGGCTGCCCAGCGATCCCCTGGGGCCCAAAGCTGTCCGAGGCTTCCAAGTCGGCCCACCAAGGCCGCCAAGATGGTGCCGCCTTGCCTGAAGAAGCCCCCCCCTTTTCAGCCTCCAAGAGTACCCCGCCACAGAGGCTCCAAGGGGCAGTCAAGACACCAAAGAGAAGGCCAAGAGGCTCCCCAGGAAAGCCAGCATCGCTCCAAGGCCTGAGGAATTTCTTGGGCCTTTTTTTATGTCGGGCTTCCAAGGCCTCTCGGCTAAAAACGGTCTCAATGAGTGCCCCAAGAAGCTCCCCAGACGGCCCAGGACAGTCCCAAGAGGGCGCAAAGACGGCCCAAGAGGGCAACAAGAGGCCCCGCAAAAGACTCCCAAGAGAGCCCCCAAAAGAACCTGCCCAGACGGCCAAGTGGGGCGGGCCCAAGCCCAAGACGGCCCACGAGGGCCCTAATCCACGCCAAAAGCAGGTCCCGAGAAGGCCCCAAAGACGGCCTCGCGGGAGCCCAAGACAGCCTGAGCACGGCTCTGGGAGGGCCAAGGTGCGGGAGAGCCCAGAATCGTGTCGATAAATCGGATTGGCGATCGACACGAATCGGATCAGCGGAAATCGGCAGCCAAGTCGGGAACAGTCGGATCGGCGGAAATCGGCAGGCCGCAAGGCCTCCGCTGCGAAATCGGAGCCCAGATCGGCATCCGAAATCGAAGCGAATCGGAATCGGAATCCATCGACATCGAATCGAATCGAATCGGATGAATCGAAAAGAGCCCCGAAGATGAGGCTCTTAGGAAGGAGAAAAAAGAGGTGTCACATATTAATTACGGCCTCCCAGGCGGTGCTCGCAGCGCTGCCACACACGGAGTCCTGCGCTGGCACGGTGGCGGAAGCTGCCGCACGCCAACCAGATGGGACGAGCACGGTCTTGAAGAGCAGGCCTTGCTGCGATGTCAAACGCCGTGCTGGAAGGCCAGAGTTCGAGTCGGAGTTCAGGTCCCTCTTCGCAAACAGAAAGATTTGACCCGGAAGCACACCTAAGAGTTTGCCGAGAGAGCTCGTGATGGCAGCCTCGCTTGCTGCACTGCTAGCCCAGTCGACAGTCGGGCCAGAATCGGATTCGTTGGTGGCGATCGCCATTTCAACGAGCAAGACCTCCATGAGCTCGAGCGCCTCCGAATGTTCGGAGGATATGCAGACCAAAGGTACCTCTTCGAACTGGCCATTGATGCAGTTGATTGGCACGACAAGCTCGTACGACTCGTTGCACACTGGCGAACAGCTCGCGCCACTTGCAGTGCCGATGCAGGAATAGCTATTGGCCACGTGCGGCATATCTGGCACCGAATCTGCGTAACATCTCTTCGGTGCGCAGGTTCCCGAACCACTGGCCCAGCCGTAATCCGTCGAGGCCAGGCACTCGATTTGCACGGGGAAGCCCAGATCCTCGTAACCGTCGGAGCATGAAATATTGCACACTTCCTGGTAGAGCACGTTCGCGCAGCCAGGATCCCACAGCTCATAACCGATCGGCAGCTCCAAGTCCGGGCTGCCGCCGCAAACAACTTTCTCGCACATGGCCGTTCCCGTGAACTCCGAAGGAATCATCGGCGTTGTTGTGTTGACGCAGACCATCGACTCTGATGGAGCGTATCCAGGACCACACACAGGATCACACGTGTCGAACCAACCGATGCCTGAACATTCGATGCGGATCAAGTCTGGCAGGCCAGACACGTTGGAAGAACCAGACCCAGTAAGTACCACGGGCACGTCGTTGACGATGGGAGGGAGATCACACACGCAGCACGTTGTGGAAGTGGCTGTCGTTGACGTGAGCGTTGCGGAGGTGAACTGCCAAAGAATGACATCTGGTTCGGTTGCCCAGAAGACTGAAAAATTCCCCAAGCCTAAATCCGCCACTACCACTTCGAGAGTCGAATCGAGGACGCTGGAGTCATTAAACAGAGCGGTCAGGAGGGTCGACTCTGTGTCTGCGTCCATGCCGCCAACCAGAACCGTGTAGAGAATTTGGAAAGAGAACGTGGTAGACGCGCTGGTCAGCAGTCTCGCTGACACTTCGGTCGAACTCTCAGTAACAGAGTCGATTGTGATCCATGACTCCGAGACGTTCAAGTAGCTCGAGAGAGTGGTCTGGGAAGCGGTCGCTACTTCAGCAGTGGAGACGTTGTTGGAAAATATTAGCCCGATGGTGCAGCGGATCTCAGAAAAACGCTCCGGGGTTGCGGTCATGGAGGTATTGGTTGCTGTAGTCTCTGATGTACTGGAAGAGCTTCCCGTGGTTGAAGATAGGGTAATGGAAGACACGGTAGAGCTTTCAGTGGTTGTAGACCGCGTCGCGCTAGATGTTTCGGACGTCGTACTCCCAGTCGTGCTGGAGGTCTCAGACGCCGTAGTTAACGTCGTAGTCACAGTCGTCGCGGAGCTGATCGAGCTCGAAGCCGTGGAGCTGTGAAAACTCGAAGTTGATGTTCCTGACCAGGAAGATTGCGTCGTGCTGGAAGATATGGACATACTGGAAGAACTTTCGGTGGTTGTAAATAACGTCGAGCTAGAGCTCTCGGTGGTTGTAGACAAAGTCGTGCTGGGGGTCCCGGTATTTGAAGACAGGGTCATGCTGATAGAGCTCTGAGTGGTTGTAGACAGAGTGGAACTCATGGTAGAGCTCTCGGTTGTTCCAGACCGAGTTGTGGTAGAGCTCGCAGTAGTTGTTGATGTAGACAACGTTGTGCTAGAGCTCTCAGTGGTGGTGGACAACGTCGAGCTAGTTGAAAACAGACTCGTGGTAGAAGACCACGTCGTGCTGGATGTTCTGGACGTTGTGGTCAACGTCGCGCTGGAGGTCCCCGTGGTTGAAGACAGACTCGAAGTAGAACTCCCGGTAGTTGTAGTTAACGTCGGGCTAGAGCTCTCGGTGGTTGTAGACATTGTCGTGCTGGAGGTCTCGGACGTTGGAGACGAGGATGTGGTAGAGCTTTTGCTAGAAGAGCTCTGGCTTGTCGAAGACAAAGACGTACTAGAGCTCTCTGTCATTGTAACAGTCAAGCTCGTGGTAGACGACTCTGTGGATGTGGTAAGGCCGTCGCAAATGTCGAGCCAGGATAGGTACGCCTGTAGTACTTGCTTTGTTGCCGAAGTACTTTGACCTGAGTCATAGAAAGAAATAGATTCACCACCAAGATCGAAGATACAGCCTGCGAGACCTGCGTCAGAGACCGACACGTCGACGTACTTCGGCCCCGAACGCGATTCGCCAAATACTGTGTACTGCTTGATTGAGGTCATTGTATCAGCGACGTCGGAACACTCGGCTTGTCGATCGGCAAGCGTGGTGGAATTGGCAACGTAAAAATACCACATCTGGCAAACGTCTGGGTAGAGGAGATTTGTAGGGTCGTACCGTAGGGTGGTTGTTGTCACGGACATGCTCGAGGTCGTCCCGGTTGTGGATGAGGTGGTCTGCTCCTCACCCTGGCAGACGTTCTGCCTGTTGAAATTAGCAGCACCGGCAAGCCCGTTGCCAAAGAAGAGAATACCAAAATATACGACGCACGAGCCATCAAACAAATCTGACTGCACTGTCGTGAGGCCCTGGAGCTCCACTATGTAAGCTGTGGCGTTGTGGAAGCACCCAATCTCGTCCAGGACCTCCTCGTAGCCCGCATCAGCGCACATCAGGCCAGCTGGCAGCAAGACGTAATGGGTCGGGGTTGTACTGGTCGAGCTTATCGTAGTCACAGTCGAGCTGGAGGTGTGAGTTGCTGTAGTCAGGGTGGTAGCTGAAGTTCCAGTAGAGCTCTGTGTGCTTGAAGACAGAGTCGTGCTTGAAGTATCGGTTGATGATGACGAGCTCTCGGTGGTTGAAGATAGAGTCGAGGTAGAGCTCCAAGTGGTTGTGGACAACGACGTGCTTGAGGTCTCGGTGGTTGAAGACAGACTCGTGGTTGAAGACAAACTCACAGTTGAAGACAGGCTCGTGCTTGAGCTCTCGGTGGTTGAAGACAGAGTCGTGGTTGAGGTCAATGTGGTTGAAGACAGAGTCGTGGTTGAACTCCTGGTGGTTGAAGACAGGCTCGAGGTAGAGCTGTCGGTGGTAGTTGACAACGTCGTGCTGGAGGTCTGAGTGGCAGAGCTTTCAGTGGTTGACGACACACTCGTGCTTGAGCTCCCAGTCATGGTAGAGCTCTTGCTTGTTGAAGACAGGCTCGTGTTTGAGCTCCCAGTGGTTGTACTTAACGTCGTGCTGGAAGTCTCGGATGTTGAAGACAGAGTCTTGGTAGAGCTCTCGGTGGCTGTAGACAACGTCGAGCTAGACGTCTCGGTAATAGAGCTCTCTGTGGTGGAAGACAAACTCGTGGTAGAGCTCCTGGTGGTTGCAGAAAAGGTCGTGCTCGAGGTCAATGTGGTTGAAGACAGACTCGTGGAAGAGCTCCAGGTGCTGCTAGATGTCTCGGTGGTTGAAGACAGAGTCGTGGTATAAGTCAAGCTCGTCGTGGACGATTCGGTGGATGAGGTAAGACTTCCGCAAATGTCGAGCCATTCATCATATGCCGTGACGGCGTCCTGGTCGTAGAAAGTGATGGTGCCACCGCCAAGGTTGAAGACACAACCTCCGAGAG